TCAAATTAACACTCTACAAGAACAAATAAATTCTCTAGCAGGAGTGGTTTTACAGAATAGGAGAGCTTTATACTTATCAATGGTTAAACAAGGTGGGACCTGTGCAATGTTAAAGGAGAATTGCTGTTTTTTTTGGTCAACCAATTGGGCAAAATTCAAACTAAACTTCGGAATATTATCGAAAGAGCTAAAGGGTTTTATATGAAGGGAGCCTCAGAGGGATTCGACTGGTGGGATCTCAAGACTAATATCTGGTCCTGGTTCTCTTGGCTAACTCCTCTTCTAGGTCCTATAGCAGCCTTCCTACTTCTACTGATCTTCGGGCCATGCATTTTTAACTTCCTTGTTAAGTTTGTCTCTTCTAGAATACAACCAATGAACCTCCAGATGGTAAGGTGACAAGAATACAGGCCAGTCAACACCCAGACAACACTTGAACAAGCCTCCGTCACATCCCATGGAGCCCCCACCCCCTCTCTAGGAATACTCTGACAGAGAGCAGGCATCAGGAACCCAGGGCCCCTACGACGTCCCTGCCTCTTCTCCTAACAAAAAGCGTTCTGGAACGCCTGAGAAGGAGCTAGGCAGACAGGTAGACATGAGCAGGGTGTCCAACAGGGCCAAAGGATTGGCCCTATAAATAAAGAGAGGGGGAAATGTGGCGCTCCAAGGACAAAAAACAAGATAAACTCAAAGGGCCAGCATTGCCGGAACAAAGAGTTACAGGATTCCTATCGCTCTGTCACGTTGCGGCCACTGCAATGTCCCAGAGCCTCCCAAGCAGCATGCCCTGTCCCTTTCCCATCCACACCGCCTGCCTTGAACTCCTCTTGTGGCACATACAGGCACGCATAGACCTACCTGTAATAAAATTTTCTATTTCACGTTTCCTCGTGGTCTTTGTTGACAGTGGTTCAACAATATCGCGCACACAGGATATACATTTAAACTGTTAATTTAACAAAGTCACAACAGTTGCAATATTGGTTTACGTACTTTAATAAGGACAGACATTGTGATATTTCACGATTCATGCGGTAGTATGCAACTGTTAAAAAAAAAAAAAAAGAAAGGACGTGGGATCCATAACCGCAATGCCATTATAGTTAACAAAAACATTAAAGCTAACTTATAGTATCATCGGATTCTCGGCCCCCATAAGAATTTACCCATTCGTCTCACAACATCTCTTTCAGTTTCTTAAACTAGGACTTAATAACAAACCAGAATTCCACGTGGTTGCACGTGGGTCGAGACACAGTCTCATCCATCACATCCGGGGCTCAGGGCAGCAAGACCCATTACCCCTCGATACACAAAACGTCCCCCGACGGCGCCGACGGACGGAGACGCGTGTGGGACACGCACTCTCCCCACGCAAGGACGCGTTCCCGCGGGAGCCTCTGGGATGGAGTCTTACGGGTTTCTCCTGCGCGTGTGCGGCCCCGCCCACCTCACCCTCTTCGTCCGGAACGTCGGGGCCCCACCGCGCTACGGCAGCTGCGCCCGCGCGCTGGCTGTCCTTCTGGGACCCTGAAGGTGGGTGCAAGGGTGGAAGGCGGCCGCGGCGCGGGGACGCAGGGCGGGGTGGGGACGCTGCTCCACTCGGTGGGAGCGTAAAGGTCGGCGGGTGTGAGCGGCGCGGCCTGAGGCGCAGGCGCGAGCCGCACCCTGGGCAGGGGCCGGGAGGCGATTGTGGCCTTAGGACCCGCTGGTCCAGGGCTGGAAAGGGCCGGCTCGGGCCGTGCTTCGAGTGTTGCTTGGTCAGAAGACGGTGCACTGCGGACAGCCGGGCGCCCGCCTCCGGAGGCTTCGCGCCCTGGGGGTGGAGTCCAAGGTGACTGTGAGGCCGGGGCGGGTCTGCAGACCACGCGAGCGAGCGTGGGTGGGCTGCGGGCTGCGTGCACTGTCCAGCTGTGCCGCCGAAGCAAGCCTCCCGGGCGATGTCAGTAACCTCTGTGACATTCGGTTTGCTCACCTGTGACGCGAGCGCCTTAAGGACTAGCGAGTTGCCCCCGATTCCCGGGGAAATCGGTGTGAAGTGCATGAGGAGTCTTACTGTGTGGTAGTTGTTACTGGGGTCTCTCGGAGTCTTTTCAGCAGGTGAGGTGTCAGGTCCCCTCCTGCGCTGTGTAGCCTGCTGAGCACCAGGTTTCGTTTACAGTTTTCACAAGACCTAGTTTCTAGGGACCGTGAGTGCCAGGGGGGATCGTTGGGCTCTGAATGACTGACCCCTTTTCTTTGGAACAAGGTAGTTATTATGAAGCATGAAGGGGAGGCGCCCTGTGAACGAAAGACAACCCCTGAAACCTGAACCCGCTTATTAGCGCTTCAGAGCAGAGGCAGAAGAATCACAGAAAGGAGGAGATTCTAGCTTTGCATGGCCAAGCAATTATTGATGCTTCTGCGCAGAGTGAATGAGATGTGGGTGACACTGCTTCCTCCCGAAGTTGTCAAAGACTGGGTGATAATGGAAGGTCCGAATGGACTTTCAGAAGGAGACCTGAGCTAGGCTGAGGCGGGTAGGCAGAGGCCAAAAGAAATGTTACTTATTGGAGAGGTCCCGAGGGTGTGGTCTGGGGTGGAGGGATAACTTGTCACAGCTGAGAGAATCTGTCTATGGTGCTCCCTAAATATTCCCATTCCTTCATTCTGCTCCCACTGTTTCTGTTATCTGAGCTCTCTCAAGCCTATTATACCATCAAGTTTGGTATCTGGAGGTATGCTGGTGCTTGCTCTTCCCAGCAGTTCTTTCTGTTAGTTCAGGAAGGGTTTGTCAGGGTATGTCTGCCTTATGAGAAAGACTGGGGAGTGAGCGGGGTGTGGGTGGAGGAGAGGAAAAAGGATTTGAGGACATGAGTGATGTGCCAGGCTCACGTGATTTTTTTGTATACATCAGGCATCTTGACTTTTGGATAATATTATCCACTCTGCCACCATTAAGTCAAACACGTTTACTTTTGACACCATTTTTGAGAAATGCAGTCAACTTAAGAACAAATAAGTTTTAGAAGACCTTGTCTTAAACATGCCTGTCTTATTTTCCCTAATTCTTTCTGTGGACTAAGTGAGCTCCGGGGACTCATAATACAAGTGTTTCCCACTTAACATCAGAAATCTGTGCTTGATAATCATAGATTCCACAGCACAATAACAGAAGCCTATTTTCCACTGTTTAAAATGGGAAAATTAGAGTGAATCACACTTCACTCTAATTGGCTCCAAACTGATTTTTTAAAAATGTAAATAAAACACAGCATATGCCCCCATAAAATTAACAGGCTCATGTTACAGTGTAAAAAAGTTAAAATATAGTTTTCTGGTCTGCACACAATTGCTTTTTAAAATTCACGTGGTCTCTTAGTGCAACAACCTTACTGAGGTCCATCCAGGTGACATTTGTTTTCCTTTCAGAAGTTCTGCATGTGTTGTGAAGTTCTATTGGTGGTTTTTCAGCATGTAATGTAAGACTTTTTTCCCCACGTAATTTTGTTAAAAACATTGAGTTTGGGGACTTAGACATATCATTTAGCATTTGCTCAGTAATGAACCAACCCAAATTTACTGACTTAAAAAATAAAAAATAATAAAAAAACATTGGGGGCTTCCCTGGTGGCACAGTGGTTGAGAATCCGCCTAACAGTGCAGGCGACACAGATTTGAGCCCTGGTCTGGGAAGATCCCACATGCCATGGAGCAGCTAAGCCCGTGCGCCACAACTACTGAGCCTGCACTCTAGAGCCTGTGAGCCACAACTACTGAGCCCACGTGTCACAACTACTGAAGCCCGTGCGCCTAGAGCCCGTGCCTCACAACAAAGAGAAGTCACCGCAATGAGAAGCCCACACACTGCAACAAAGCGTAGCCCCTGCTCACCGCAACTAGAGAAAGCCCGCGCGCAGCAACAAAGACCCAACGCGGCCCAAAATAAATAAATAAATAAGTATATTAAAAAAAAATGTGCTCAAAGTTTAGCATTTTGGGTTTTTTAAAATTTTTGTTTTGTTTTTACTTTTTAAAATTTTATTGACGCATAGTTAATTTACAATGTTGTGTTAGTCTCTGTTGTACAGCAGAGTGAATCAGTTATACATATGTCCACTCTTTTTTAGATTCTATTCCCATATAGGTCATTACAGAGTATTGAGTAGAGTTCCCTGTGCTGTCAGTAGGTTCTTATTAGTTATCTCTTTTATATATAGTAGTATGTATATGTCAATCCCAATCTCCCAATTTATTCCTCCCCCTGTCCTTTTCCCCTCGGTAACCATAAGTTTGTTTTCTACATCTGGGACTCTATTTCTGTATTGTAAATAGGTTCATTTGTACCATTTTTTTTAGATTCCATATATAAGCAATATCATATGATGTTTGTCTTTGTCTGACTTACTTCACTCAGTGTGACAATCTCTAGGTCTGTGGTTCAGCATTTTGGGGCTAGGTTTAGTTGGTCAGTTCCTATGTTCGTGTTGTCTGGTTCACAAATGAAGCTGTAGTCATCTGATGCCCTGACTGAGGCTGTTTGATTTAAGATGACTTCATTTACTTTTTTGGTGGTTTGTGCTGGCTGTTGGCTAAACCACATGTCCCTAACAGGCTAGCCCCAGAAGGCAAGCTGTAGTGGAAAAGTGCTTTTCATCTGTGTTTGCATCATATGTCCTTATTTTTTTTTAATATCTTTTTCGGAATATAATTGCTTTACAGTGTTGTGTTAGTTTCTGCTGTATCCTATGCCCTTTTAACCAAAGCAAGTCAAATGGCAGAGCCCACATCAGTTGTAGGGAACTTCACAGGGAAATAAATGCGGAGAAGCAGCCATTGTTTAAATCGGAGAATCAACCATTGTTTAAATAAAGCAACAACCATTGTTTAAATAAGCATTTTTAAAAATTTAAATTGATGCCCCTCCATTCACCTTCTCTCGCAGCTCTATTTCCAGAGTCCTCTGTGTGTTTCTAAGAACAGCAGGAAATGAATACATCTCTGGTGAGTTGTTTTTTTTCCTCAGCTTGTTTTCTATTTTACTATATGAGCTTTATGAGGGTCCTTAAAGTAAAATGGAAAAGTAAAACTAAGTAAGATTCAGCTTCAGGGCAATATACATAAAAAAGATAAAGGTGGCATGTGGATATAGGCAGGTAATATGACCTTAGAGTGGTCCAAGGTGAGTGCAATGGCAAAAACACAGATACACCTGTTCTCTGATCAGAATGGACCCTTAGAAGAAAGCATGCTACATTCCCTTGAGACATGAGAACTTGCATGCACAGATGTCTGAACAGTGGCTTAATTGGTCACATAGATGATGGAGTGGACAGTGTTTCACTGCCAGTCTGGAAATAAACACTTCATGCATTCTGCAATGGTGACACTTACCTAGTGCTGAAGCAGAACTTGCTTAATAAGGTTTTTCTGGAGTTGCTAAAAGAGTGTGGTCCCAGACAGCTTTTGGAAGGCCCTACTTGATGCATAGATAAAACGTGGAATGTCTAGAGGATTGAATTGACTGCAGGTCCTTTAAGTAACTCATTTCTCTCCGCTAGTCAATGCATGCAGGTTGTATAGCAGACTGTTCAAGGCTATATTTTCTGGCAAATGTTTCCACTGCTCTTTTGCAGCTTAACCTACTCAACATGGTCTTAATTCATTTCTTCTCAAGCTCACCAGTAACCTAAATTATAGTTAGGTTCAATGAATATGTTGTAGTCTTTGCCTTACTTGAACCTTCTGCCATATTGAAGCTACTGTCCATGATCTCCTGGAAATTCTCGGCCATTAGCTTCTGTTGTGGCCTCTCTGATGGTTTATTCCCGAATTCTTCTGTCTTTTTCTTCTGCTCCTGAGCGTTGCTCATCCAGGTGTTCAAACCTGGGCCCCATTCTTCACACGCTGCAGTTCTCCTTGACCTGTTTGGCCCTCTGTGATTTGACAGTCCTGTTTCTCTCCAGCTTGGACCTCTTCCCTACCTTTAGACCATAGGTTCGGCTCCTTGTTGAATGCTTTCTTGTAGCTATCCAGAAGGTATCACAAGCTCAACAAATCCAAAATGAAAACCACATTCTTCTTTCTTCCCGTACATATGATGCTACTTTCATGGAGCCAGTGAGTCAAACCACCAAAATGGGATTTCTCCTGGACCCCTCCCTCTCTCTCAGCTTTAATCTCATCTAAGGTAAAGTCCTGCTACTTCTGTTTGTGCCTTTAATTTCGTCTGATGTCTGCATTGTTGCTCACCAACAAACGCAGTAACTTTCTTTTTTACGTTGGAATTGTCATCCTTGGCAAAACCTGAAGGATGTGTTTGCTGTGATCTGGTTAGATTCCCCTCGAGCTGTGCTACTGGCCAGCATGTGTGGTGACAGCCTTAGGAGTCCAGTGAGAGAAAGAATTCAGGAGTTATTCAGAGTTATTTTGAACAAGGGTCAGGACAAAGTTACACAAAGTCTAAAAACAAGGGTTACAGATTTTTGTAATTTTTAACTTCCATTTATATAAATTTGTCAGTGATTCTGTCGCTTTTATTATGATATAATTGCGTATTGCTAGTTCAAAAATGACCTTTTTCCAAACCCTGTTAAAGACTATTTAATTCTTCTGCTATTTCAGTTAATCACTTAAAAATGAATAGGGAGAAGTGCATGTGTGCATTATTCATAACTATGACTATGGAGCAGAACTCTCCTAATTGTTGGTTAATTTTTTTTATTGTGATAGAATATACATAAGCTAATGTTGGCAATTGCACCATTTTTAAGAGTACAATTCAGTGCTCGTAGTATATTCAGTTTATTCACACTGTTGTGTAATCATCACCACTAAGAATATCCAGATTCATCCTCCCCAGATGAAACTTTACTCGGGACTTCCCTGGTGGCGCAGTGGTTAAGAATCTGCCTGCCAATGCAGGGAACACAGGTTCAATCCCTTGTCCAGGAAGATCCCACATGCCACGGAGCAACTAAGCCCATGCGCTGTAACTACTGAAGCCCGCATGCTGCAACTACTGAGGCCTGAGCACCTTCTCCCGTGCTCTGCAACAAGAGAAGCCACTGCAGTGAGAAGCCCGTGCACCGCAGCAGAGAGTAGCTACCACTCACCGCAACTAGAGAAAGCCCGCACGCAGCACTGAAGACCCAACGCAGCCAAAAACAAACAAACAAAAACTTTACTCATTAAACCCTAACTCCCTATTCTCCCCTCCCCCAGCCCCTGGCAGCAACCACTCTAATCTCTGTGTCTATGAAGTTGATGACTCTGAGAACCTCATATAAGTGGAATCATGCAGTGCCTGTCCTTAAGTGACTGACGTATTTCACCTAGTGTAGTGTCTTCAAGGTTTATCCGTATTGTAGCATGGTAAAATTCACTTCCTTATGAAGTCTCAATAATATTACATTATATGTATGCCCACGTTTTACTTATCCATTAATCCATCAATGGTTTTATGGGTTACTTCGACCTTCAGGCTATAAAGGATAATGCTGTTATGACCATGTGTGTAGACATATCTTTTCTAGTTCCCACTTTTACTTTGTTTCTTATACACCCAGAAGTAAAGTTGTAGGATTGCGTTGTAATTCTGTATTTAATTTTTTCAGGAATCACCGTGTTGTCTTCCGTGGCGGCTGCACTATTTTACATTCCCACCAGCAGTGCACAAGGTTTCCAGTTTCTTCATATTCTTGCCAACGCTTGTTCTTTCCTGTTTTGTTTTGTTTTTTACATAGTAGCCATCCTATTGGGCATAAGATGGTGTCTCACGGTGCTTTTGATTTGCTTTTCTCTAATGACTAGCAATGTTGAGCATGTTTTTATGTGTGTATGGGCCATTTGTTTATCCTTTTTGCACATTTTTTAAATAGACTTTTATTTTTTTATAGCAGTTTTAGATTCCCAGCAAAATTGAGCAGAAGATACAGTGATTTCCAGTGTACTCTCTGCCCCCAGGCGCTGCCTCCCCATTATCAGTATCAGGTATTCATTTGTTACAATTCATGAACCTACACAGACATATCATTATTACCCAGAGTCCTCGGTTTACATTATAATTTGCTCTTGGTACTGCACTTTTTATGGGTTTGGACAAATGTGTAATGATACGTATTCACCATTATAGTCATGCAGAGTGGTTTTATTGCCCTGAGAATCCTCTGCGCTCCTTCTGTTCATATCCTTCTGTAGTCCGTAGCCCTTGGCAACCACGGGTATTTTTCCTGTCTGCATAGTTTTGCCTATTAGAGAATGTCATATAGTTAGAACCACGTTAGGTAGGTTTTTTAGATTGGCTTCTTTCACTTGTTAACATGCTTTTAAGTTTCCTCTGTGTCTTTTCATGGCTTGATAGCTCATTTATTTTTAGCACTGAGTAATATTACATTTCCTGGTTGTACCACAGTTTATCCACTCATTTACGGAAGGACATTTTGGTTGCTTCCAAGTTTGGCAGTTGATGAATGAAGCTATTGCAAACATCCGTGTACTGGTTTTATGTGGACATACGTTTTCAGTTCCTTTGGATAAATACCAGAAGCGCACTTGCTGGATCATGTGTTAAAAGTGTGTGTTTAATTTTGAAGACAGTACCAAACTGTCTTCTAGAGTGGCTCTACCATTTTGCTACTTTGTTATGGCAGCCCTGTCAAATTAATACACTGCACTTCATTCCACGGCTTTTCTATTGGTTACTGTAAGGCTTACGATATGAGTCCTTATCAGAATATACTACAGGAGCAGTGCATTACTTCACATAAAATGTAGAGACCTTTGAGTAGTAGTATTCCATTTACAACCCCTATCATTTGTACTTTTGTTTTTATACATGTGTATTTACATATTGAGTCTACATACATTATGAGTCTCCTGTATGTTATTATAATTTTTCTTTAAACAATCATATCTATTTTAAAGGAATTAAGAGAAGAAATATATATATATATATATATATATATAAAATCTTTTATATTTACCATTTCCAGTGATCCTGATTCTTTCCTGTGGATTCAGGTTAACATCTGGTATCTTTTTCTTTCCTCCTGGAGAATGTCCGTTATCATTTTTAGTGCTATCTTCTGATGATGAATTAACTTAGTTTATCTTTATCTGAAAATGTCTTTATTTCATCTTTATTTTTAGCATAGTTTCACTGGGTAGAATTACAACTTGAAGGATGTTTCCATTCAGGGTAATAAAGGCGTTCCCCACGGTTTCTGATAAGAAGTCATCTGTCATTCATGTGCAGATGTACCTGAGTGGGATCTTTTCCTTTGGCTGCTTTCGAGATCTTCTCTTTACCTTTGGATACTGGCAGTGTGACTGGTGTGCCTAGAGTAGTTTTCTTTTCTTTTTTAATAAATTAATTAATTTATTTTTGGCTGCGTTGGGTCTTTGTTGCTGCGCGTGGGCTTTCTCTAGTTGCGGCGAGTGGGGGCTGCTCTTCATTGTGCGAGGGCTTCTCATTGCAGCAGCTTCTCTTGTTGTGGAGCACGGGCTCTAGGCGCGTAGACTTCAGTAGTTGTGGCACACGGACTCAGTAGTTGTGGCGCACGGGCTTAGTTGCTCTGCGGCATGTGGTATCTTCCTGGACCAGGGCTCAAACCCATGTACCCTGCGTTGGCAGGTGGATTCTTAACCACTGTGCCACCAGGGAAGTCCCTAGAGTAGTTTTCTTTGAATCTAAGCTGATCATGGGTCATTGAGCTGCTTCAATCTGTAAATTCGTGTCTTTCACAAAATTTGGGAAGGTTTTAGCCACTGTTTCTAAAAATACATATTATGTTCCATTCTTTCTCTCTCCTTTCTGGCTGGTGCTACAGTCACATATATGTTAGACTGTTTTCTAAATTGTTTCTTAGCCTCTTTTCATTTTTCTTCATTTTTTTCTCTCAAAAAGATAAGAAAATATCTACTGATCTATCTTTAAGTTCATTGGCTTTCTTTTGCTGTTTCCAATGCGATGTTCAGCTCATCAGAAAGTTTTTCATTTTTGTTACTGTAGTATGTAGCTCTGCAATTTCCATTTAATTGTTTTTCTAGTTTGTTTTTCTGTACTGATATTGCCCCTCCCCCCCGCCAATACATTATTTTTTATCTTCCTTTAAGTACTTGAATGTATTTATGGATGGGTTAACTATGTTTCTGCTACGTGCAGCATCCGGGATACCTTGGGATTAGTTTCTAGTGATTGTTTATGGTCGTTTTTTGTTTTTCTTCTTGAATATGAGTAACATTTTCCTCTTACTTTACATGTGTTGAGATTCTGAATTATGTACTAAACATTGTAAATCATACGTTGCAAGAGTTTTTGGATCCTGTTACATTTCTCTGAAGAGTGATTTTGTTCTACAAGGCAGTTAACTTGGCTGGATTCAAATTCTAAACTTCATTTCTTATAGTGACCAGCAGCTGACTCTTCATTCATTTCCTTCAGCTTTGAGAGGCTGCTTTCTTGTTGGGCCCTCCGAGGTCTTCCACATATGTGTAGTTTAGCAGTCAGCCAACAACTGTGGTTGGTTTTGTGTGGAAATTTGGTACATTATGTTCTTTTGCTGCTTCTCTCTGAGGGCTACCCCCCAACCCCCACTGAGTTTTCCAGTTTTGTTGGCAGCCCTGAACTATGCCCTCTGACACCTAAGCCAGTAAAGCTTCAGCTTTCAGTTTCTTGATCTATTTGCAGATTGAAGATTGCCCTCTGGTAAAATGCCATAAACTTGCAAAGTAGTTTGTCCTTTAATGGATTATTCAAATCTAGTTTCTGCCTACTTTTAGTTGTTCTCCAGTGCCTTTAGGTGATTGTGTTATAAATTTTGTCCAGTTTTTATAATAGTTTTCTGCACATTGTTAGTCTGGTCAAGCTACTTTGCCATTAACATACAAGCCATGCTACATTTATGATGTTTATATTTTTAAATCTATCTTCACTAGTTTATCTGGCCTGTCTTTATCATAGGGTCATTTTCTCTCCACTGGACTATTGGTCAGCTCTCTTAAGTCTCCCAATCTTATTACTATCCCAACTCAGTTCTTTCTTCCATGGGAATAATTCATCCAAGATAAGGGGCAGTAAATTACGGCATACAGGTCAGATGTGGCTACTACCTATTGTTGTGTGACCTGTGAGCTCGTTTGTTGGCTTATTACACCTTTTTAAAGCAGTTACTGTAAGGTTTGTGCTATTCATCTTTAATTTATCATAGTCTACTTTAAAATAAGATACCATTTATATAAGAACCTTAAAACAGTATACTTCAAAAGTTTTCTCCTCCCAGCTTCTGTGATATCGTTGGCATACCTTTTACTCCCACATGCATTCTTTTGTTTTGGCTGCGTTGGGTCTTCGTTGCTGCGCACCGGCTTTCTCTAGTTGCAGTGAGCGGGGTCTACCCTTCATTGTGGTGCACAGGCTTCTCAGTACAGTGGCTTCTCTTGTTGCAGAGCCTGGGCTCTAGGTGCACGGGCTTCAGTAGTTGCAGCACATGGGCTCAGTAGTTGCAGCACACAGGCCCTAGGGCATGCAGGCTTCAGTAGTTGTGGTCTGTGAGCTCAGTAGTTGTGGCTTACGGGCTCTAGAGCACAGGCTCAGTAGTTGTGGTGCGTGGGCTTAGTTGTTCCATGGCATGTGGGATCTTCCCGGACCGGGGATCGAACCTGTGTCCCCTGACTGGCAGGCAGATTTTTAAGTACTGCGCCACTAGGGAAGTCCCCCACATGCATTCTTATTTTGCTTCATATGGTCAATTACCTTTAAAGGAGTTTGAACATAAAAATAATATAATATTATATCATAATATATTATAAAAGATATATTACATAATACAATATATATTATATATTTATTAATATATTTACCATTTTGAGTGCTCTTTATTCCTTTATATATACCCAGATTTCTATCTGATACATTTTTCTTCAGATTTTAGGCAATTTGATTATCGTGGTCCTTGTTCTAGTTAGTTACCTGATGTTTCTTGCTTGTACAAAGTCTGGTCCCCAGAGCGCCCTCATGCCCTTTACCATCCCCATGATCACCCTCAGGTTCAGTAATTCACTAGCAGGACTCAACAGAACTCAGAAAAGCCGTTGTGGGCTTCCCTGGTGGCGCAGTGGTTAAGAGTCCACCTGCCGATGCGGGGGACATGGGTTCGAGCCCTGGCCCGGGAAGATCCCACATGCCGCCGAGCAACTAAGCCCATGCGCCACAACTACTGAGCCTGCGCTCTAGAGCCCACGAGCCACAACTACTGAAGCCTGTGCTCCGCAACAAGAGAAGCCACTGCAATGAGAAGCCCGTGCACCGCAACAAAGAGTAGCCCCCGCTCTCAGCAACTAGAGAAAACCCCCGTGCAGCAGCGAAGACCCAGTGCAGCCAAAAGTTAAATAAATGAGTAAATAAATTTAAAAAAAGAGCTGTTGTACGCATGTTTATGGTTTTGTACAGTGAAAGGATGCAGATTAAAATCAGTTAAGGGATCAGGCACATAAAGCAGGTCCACGAGTCTTCATGTGCAGGGTTCCAAAAACCTGCCAGTGGAGCCACGTGGACGGTGCCTTTTTCTCGCAGCAACAGGGTTTGACAGTGTGCGTGGAATGTGGAGAAATAGGGAAGCTTACTTGAGCCTTGATATCCAGCTTGCACTGGGGCTCTGTCATGTAGACCTGGTTGACCATCTGTGTGGCTGACCTTAGTCTCTAGTCCCTCCACAGACTGAGCTCATAAAATGTGCTGATAACAAGGCCTCCCACCATTAATCACATTTTTAGCATAGGGTATCTGTGTGACCCAAGGCTATCAGGTTAGACAAAGATATTTGTATCAGTCAAGACACTTCAGGGCTTATATTTAAAGCCTGAAACCGTAAAACTCCTAACAGAAAAAGCTTCTACATGAGACTTGGCAATATATGGCACCAGATGCACAAGAAACAAAAGCAAAAATAAACAAGTAGGACTACATCACACTAAAAAGCTTTTGTACCGCAAAGAAAGCACTCAACCAAATGAGAAGGGAACCCGTGAGATGAGAAAAATTTGCAAGTCATATATGATAAGAGGTTAATATCCAAAATATAAGGAATTTATTACAACTCATAGGAAAAAATAACCAAGTCAAGAATGGGCAAAGGACCTGAATAAACATTTTTCCAAAGAAAACATACAGATGGCCAACGTGTACATGAAAAGGTGCTCAATGTCAGTAATCATTGGGAAAATGCAAATCAAAACCACAATGAGATATCACCTCACCCCTGTTTAATGCTAGTATCCAAAAGACAAGAGATCACAAGTGTTGGTGAGGATGTAGTTAAAAGGAAACCTTTTACGCTAGGGTGGGAATTTATACAGCCATTTTAGAAGACAATATGAGGTTTTCTCAAAACTTAAAAATAGGGACTTCCTTAGTGGCCCAGTGGCTCATACTCCATGCTCTCAATGCAGGGGGCCCAGGTTCAATCCCTGGTCAGGGAACTAGATCCCACATGCCACAACTAAAGATCCCGCATGCCACAGTGAAGATCCCGCACACGGCAACAAAGATCCCGCGTGCTGCAACTAAGACCCAGCACAGCCAAATAGATGGTAGATAGATAGATAGGAAGAAAGAAACAATAAGAAACCTTAAAAATAGAACTACTATGTGATCCAGGAAATCTGCTTCTGGGAATATTTCTGATGGAAAAGAAATCAGTATCTCAAAGAAGTATCTTAACACCCGTGTTCCTTGCAGTGTTACAACAGCCAAGATACAGAAATAACCTAAGTGTCAGTCATCAGATGAATGGATAAAGCAAATGTGGTATGTATATCTATGGGAATGTTATTTATCCATTAAAAAGAAAGATTCTGCCATTTGCAGCAACATAGATGAACCTGAGGGCATTATGCTAAGTGAAATAAGCCAAACAGTGAAAGGCTACTTTATGGTATCACTTAACTGTGGAAGGAAAAATTTAAAAAGTTGAGTTCATGAAAACATTAGAATGGTGGTTGTCGGGATGGGGGAAATGGTAAAGGTTGGTGAAAGGGTACAAACTTCTAATTATAAGATGAATAAATTATGAGGAACTAATGTACAATATGGTGACTATAAGACCATAGTTTATAATTTATTGTTTAGTTGCAATTTGCCATGAGAATTGATCTTAAAGTGTTCTCACACATACACACAAAGAGGGTAACGGTGAGGTGATGGGTGTGTTAAGTAACTTGATTTTAGTAATCAGGTCATAATGCATACATTTATCAAATCAGCAGGTTATACACTTTAAATATATATAATTTTAATTGTCAATTATACTTCAATAAAAGTGGAATAATGTAAAATTAGGTATAAAATTAAAAACTAATAAAATAAAAAATAAATATGCCTTCCTCAGTGGCTGGGCTGCTTTTTTTGATATGCCTCTTGTCGATAGTCTCAAGCAGCCTCTTTAAATCTTAAACTGTCAGTACTTTTTAGTTCAGTTTGGTTGGTTTTTGACAGTACAACCATAAAAAATATAGTTGGGTTTATATATCTTTGATTTCAGCCAGTTTGAGCTTTTTGAGACATACCTTTCTTTTTTTTTGGTATTCATGTATCTATATATTTTTTAGACTGTAAGTTTTTGTTTTTTTCTTAAGTATTTCATCCTTAGTCTTTGCCATTTTGTGCAGCAGAAGGGATTTATTGTGGGCCAGCTCAAGCCATTCTTAAGTTTTAACAGTGACTGTCATAGTTATATTCTTCATTTGTTACTTGCCATACAGTTCAGTATAATTACTTTTGATTCCTAAAGTATTTCTCATTGTATTTTTTTCTGTAAGAACTGAAAGAGGCAACTTTTTCTGCCTTGACACAGTAAAAGCTAAAGAAATGTTTTGAGAGTTTTCCTACTCTACAAGACCCCAAATTTCTAGCTTCTGCTTATTTTCTTTCATCCCTCCTTGCAATCTGTTTTTTTTTCCCTCCCCTTAGCTCATCATTTTCCTATATTGCTTTATCAGAAGTGGTGACTAGTAGTTGAGATTTACTACTCACATTTTGATTTCCTGCCTCTTTTTCTAAGATTTTAAGTCCATGAGGTAAACATTATTTGATTTAAGAAGTATGACTCATGTGGCTTAAGTAACAGTAAGTATATAACTACCAGTTATCTTAAGTAACACCATGGTGCATTATAACACCATCCTCACAGTTTCTTTGCACCACTTGTCGCCATTGTTGGTGTGTGTTTCTGTTTGGCTTGGTGCCAGTTCAGTTACCAGTTGGGTCAGGGAGAAGGGTTCTTTCTCAGAGCTGTTGCCTGTCCTTCATGGTCCGCTTTAGTTTTGTTCCTTTCAGCATCAGGCAGCATCCCAGACAGAGGAGTATTTCTTTCTGTCATATTGCTGAGGATGAACATGGTAAAGGGGAAATACGGTGATCATCGTGTGACTCTTAAATAGGTTCTGTTTAGGAGTAATGCTTCCATTCACATGTCATCGGTCAAAGCAAGACAGGTGGGGAATTACAAATCTGTGTATATGTGAGTTCCAGCGCAAGGCGATATATACATCCTTTTACAGAGAAAGGCACTGCAAGGAGTGCTATGAACTGAATTATATTCCCCCCAAATATGTATGCTGTAGCCTTAACTCCCAATGCATTTAATCAAGTTTAAATGAGGTCGTAGGGTGGGGCCGTTACTCCAATAGAATTAGTGGCCCTATAAGAAAAGGAAGAGAGAGATCTTTTCCTTCCTTCTCCCTCCCTCCCTGCCATATATGGACTCAGCAGAAACACAGCCATCTGCAAGCTAGGAATGGAGCTCTTACCAGGAAATGAATTGGCTGGCACCTTGATCTTAGACTTCCCTGCCTCTAGAATTGTAAGAAAAGAGTTTTCTGTTGTTTAAGCCACCCAGTCTATGGCACTGAATTTAGCTGGACAGAAATATAACCTACCACATGTTTATTCTTAATTTTCCACATGAACTTTTAAATCAGCTTGCCATGATGTGTACTACTCATTCACATCGTGAACATGGTGTGTCTTTTCATTTGTTTAGTTCCTTTTTGTATCCTTCAGGGTTTTTTCCCCGCCTCATAAATTTTGTACATTATTTTGTTAAATGTATTGCTAGGTGTTTTGTCTTCTTGTTATTGTGGTTGTGTGAGTATCATGTATATGAAGGTTTATATAAAAGCCTTATATTAGTCATATAAGCTACTAACTTATTAAGTCTTCCTATGTGGAGTACTTGGATGTACTTGGATGTCATGTGATTCTCTTCAGCTTCCCAAGTATGAATTATATGGAAACCATCATCACTTTCAGTGCTGTTTTTCTCTCTTTAATTGTGTTGACTGACACTACTAGTACAGTGTTAGTAACTATGGTGATGAAGCATCCTTGCTCTGCATGTTTCCCCATAAGTGTGATGCTGGCTTTCACTTGTGGCTAAGACATACATGTTTATCATGTTAAGGAAAAATCCCGTGAATCCTCTTTTAAGTTTTTTTATTACAAATGAGAGGGTATTTTTATAGATGTCTACTTATTAGCATCTAGAATTTTCTCCACTGAACTACAAATATGATGAATTGTATTAATAGATTTCTTAATATTGAGGCTTTCTCTATTCCTAGAATAATTAAAAATTTCTTCTCCATTGTCATGGTCTGTTTTTCTTTCTCTGTCAGTAAATATCAGTGTTTCCTAAAACACCATACCTGTTCATTTTCTCCTTTCAATCTCTTAGGTTCTCTTTGAGCAATTTTATTCACTCTGATGGCTTCAGCTACCACTAAAATATTGCTGTTTCCTAAATCCTTTTCTTCATCTTGTATCTCTCTCCTGAGCTCAAGAGCATATATCCATTTGCCAGTTGCACATCTTCACATATTTGACCACAGAAATTTCAAACTTCAAACATGCTGTGTCCAAGATCTGTGTCTGTTCTGCAAATCCTATTCTTTGTCCTTATCCCAGTATCAGTTTATAGCGCTAGTATCTACCAGCTTGTTGTGCAGACAGCCTGGTAGTAAAGCTTTCCCTTCACCTTCTCAGAGCAAATGAGTACCAAATTCTTTTTCTTTTTTTCTGTTTTGGAATTAGTCCCCTGTTCCGTATTCATCTTCCTCTGTTACCTCTGTTACCTAGTATAGTTGGTCATTTCTCCCTCTGGTTTTTTCTCCTCTGATTCTCCCTTAAGCCCTTCTCCATTCTCCTGCTGGATGATGACTGTTAAAGGGCACATCTGGTTATGTAGCTTACCTCTCGTTAGCAGCCCCTCATTATTCACTCCCTGTTGTTTAGGAAGTGGGTCATGTTCACTCTTGGGTAGACATAAGCAATTCCTTAGGTAATAAGAAAATTCTAGGATGCATGTGTACATACTTTTTTAAAAAAATGGTGAGCACGTAAGGTTTTTTATTGATGGAGTTAGGTCATATATTTAAATGCAGGGTAACTTTATAATCAGTTCCTTGAATACCTTTACTGTCTTTATCTCTTATCTCAGCCCAGGAGCACCCACCTGGATGTGGTGCTGCTTGTACTTCTATTAAAGTGGCATCTGTTCTTTATGCCTCTCAGCTTGACTTCTGCTCTTGCCTCATATTCATGAGACCATGTGGTTCACACTGAACAGCTGACATGTTTAGCTCTTCAGTGAAGTGCAACCTGACAGTACAAAGTACAACTATTCTTTTTCTCCCTTGATACCCCAGGCTACCTTAAATATGTGTGTAACCTGGTTCATCTAACACATTATTCCAGGTAAGTGTTTGTACTTATGTCTCCATACCAGCTCATATGTTCCTTGTATCTTTGGCAATGAGGACCATTCCAGATTTATAAGGGAAACTATGATGGTACTTTGAAGAACTACTAAATTAACACAGACGTAGGGTATTTCTATGATGATTTCTCCTTATCCCACAATATAGAGTACAAAGCATGGTATGGTATATCCTGTGTAAGATAAAACACACACATAAGAATGAATTCCTAGACTTCCTGTTCTTTTGACCCAGGCTGATGCCTTGAATTGAGGAAAAATGTACCATTACAGGGGTTGGTGTCACTTGAGGATGTGGCTGTGAACTTCACCTGGGAGGAGTGGCAGGACCTGGATGATGCTCAGAGGACCCTATACAGGGATGTCATGCTGGAGAACTACAGTAGCCTGGTGTCACTGGGTGAGCAAAACTCCCCTAGTAACTGCCAAGTGCAAGCACGTTTTTCTTCATTGGTAAATGTACAGTTGTTTGTGAAATGAAATGCTACTTAGGTTTAAGATTCCGGGCCAGGAAGAACGTGTGTTCACCCCTCCAGTCAGAGGTTCAGATTGGCCCTTCATTGCACTACTCTTGAGGCTGTGCTGTTGGCATTTTTCAAGAGCCCATGAAACATAAACAGTTTGGCAAAAGTCCTACAGTATTTCTCATCAACAGGGCATTGCATTACCAGGCCTGAGGTGATCATCAAGGTGGAGCAAGGAGCAGCACCATGGACTGTAAAAGAAAAACCCCAGACCAGGGTTTCCCGGTGTCAGTGCACACTGTCACTGTGCACACTGAGCAGGGAGTCAGTGCACACTGAGCAGGGAGGCTGCGAAGACAAGTGCACAGCAGATGTTGGCCGTGCTGAGCTCTTTTTCACCAGTTGTTTTCTCCAAGTTCATACCTTGGGACAGACTTCAGTCTGCATGTATCAGACTCATGCATTATTCAGTCTCCAGATACGGCTCTCACATGTAAACCTCCCCCTTTTGGTTAATTGCTGAATGTTTTCTTAGACTTACCAAAAACCGGTGCCCACCTGCCTCCTCTTGGAATTTTTTCTTGGTTAGTCACTGTCCCTAGATTCTCAGTAGGCCGCCTTTTTTGGTTTTTTAAAAATATTTATTTATTTTTTGGCTGCGTCGCATCTTAGTTGCAGCACGTGGGATCTTCGATTGGTTGTGGTGCACGGGCTTCTCTCTAGGTGAGGCGCACAGGCTTAGTTGCCCCACAGCATGTGGGATCTTAGTTCCCTGACCAGGAATTGAACTGGCGTCCCCTGCATTGCAAGAAGGATTCTTAACCACTGGGCCACCAGGGAAGTCCCAATAGGCCTCCTTTTTGTTCATTCTCAGAGACTGTTTTCTTTTGGGCATTTAGTCGTACATTCATTTATTCTTTTAACATGTTAATTGGGAAGTTTTACACACTGGTAAATTTTGTAAATGTGTGGATAACAGCAGTAATCAAAGAAATGTCCTTTTTAAAATTAATTTATTTTTATTTCTGGCTGCATTGGGTCTTTGTTGCTGCACATGGGCTTTCTCTAGTTGTGGTGAGCGGGGGCTACTTTTCGTTGCGGTGCACAGGCTTCTCATTGCTATGGCTTCTCTTGTTGCGGAGCACAGACTCTAGGTGCACAGGCTTCAGTAGTTGTGGCTCATGGGCTCTAGAGTGCAGGCTCAGTAGCTGTGGCACATGGGCTTACTTGCTCTGCGGCATGTGGGATCTCCCTGGACCAGGGATCGAACCCGTGTCTGTTGCATTGGCAGGTGGATTCTTAACCACTGTGCCACCAGGGAAGTCCCGAAATGTCCTTTTTATATAGAACTTATATTTTGTTGAAAGAGAAAAATGAAAGAAATGTACATGTTTAGTAGTGAAATCAGAGCCACAAAAGTGTTAAACAAGGATGAGAGAGAGGATAATAAGAGTATAGTGTTTCCAGAAGGGTGTTAAGAAGGCACATTTAGGGGAGACTAAGTGTTTATGTTGGTAGAGCTTACGTTTGAGATGACTGTATTCCATTTTGACATGGAACATATGCATGCATGTAAAATCTGGAGTAGAAGATGGACATCACTGCTGGAGATGCAAATTAGCAAATCATTAACTCAAGACTGGTAGGAGTAGAGGAGGTGGCCTACGGACCTATTAAGACCATGAGAGAAGTGGTCCAGGTCCAGGTCTCATGAATCACTACATCAGAAACCATGAGGCTGAGAAGGACCCAGAAAACTGTTCACCGTGGAAAGTGGTGGCCTGTGACACGGGAGGATAAACTAGAGACTATGGGTCCAAGGCCAGTGAAACCAAGAATTTCATACTTTGGGAGTGGAGTTTGAAATTAAATTTTTTTTTACTTTCTCTTGTGAAGATCATTGTTTTTTTTTTTTTAAAAAAAGAATGAGAAGTATACATGGGACTCCAGTTTCAATACAACTAAGGGACAGCTGAAACTGTAAAGTACAGTAAAGTTAATATCTTCAGAAGCAGTGAATTATCAAGTAGAGTCACTCGCACCATGAAGTGAGGTGAAAATGCCTTGGCTGTTGGTCTCAGAAGCACCCAGAGAAAGCTTTTCGAAGATGGTGGGCACATGCTGGGTTGCAGAACCTAAATCCTTCAGGCCAGCAGGGAGGAGTTTCACAAAGTGATGAATTAGAGTTTCATGAACTTGTTAGGGTTCTGAGAAGCCAAGGGTATAGTGTTAAGTTAAGAATTTGCAGAAAGCTCCCTTGTCTAGCATGGAAAAAAAGATTAAGCCTTTGAAAAACCCACAGGTGCCTATAGGTGTTCCCCAGGGAGAAGTAAAAACTAAACAAACATAGGTGTAAAGTTCTTCTCTCTAAGCAGTATTCTTGTTTAGGTGACAGACAAGTGGCCCTCTCCCATATCCTGTAAGTAACTTATCCAGGAAAATCATGCCATCTTCAAAGCTGAGCTATTAGAAAAGGGCTAGCACAAGTTACCCACAATTATAAGAAGAAAGGTAGAGATAATGAATGGAAAACCAATGGTAGATGAAAAGCTGTCAGCTGAAATCTACATTTAGACAGTAAGTAAATATTTTGATCTAATACTTCCTCATTGAAAAGAATTTAAAAGAAAAGAAAAAAACTTAAGCAAAACCAAACAAAAACAAAAAACCCAATGATTTGACATTAGAAAACCTATCAATGAAGGTTCTTACATTAATTCATTAGGGAGAAAAATCACATAAAATCAGTACCCATTATTGATTTTTTAAAATATTTATTTATTTATCTTTGGCTGCGTTGGGTCTTTGTTGCTGAGCGCCGGCTTTCTCTAGTTGTGGCGAGCGGGGGCTACTCTTCGTTGTGGTGCGTGGGCTTCTCACTGTGGTGGCTTCTCTTTGTTGTAGAGCACGGGCTCTAGGCATGTGAGCTTCGTAGCTGTGGCACGCAGGCTCTAGAACACAGGCTCAGTAGTTGGGGTGCACAGCATGTAGGATCTTAGTTGCTCTGCGGCATGTGGGATCTTCCAGGACCAGGCCTTGAACCTGTATCCCCTGCATCGGCAGGCTGATTCTTAACCATTGTGCCACCAGAGAAGTCCCCCGTTACTGATTTTTTAAAGAATCATATCCTGCTAGGATGAAAAGAAACTTCTTTACCTTTACAAACCATTCAATAGGAAATACTTATATGTGATTCAAAGGTATGACCTGTAATTATGTTTATCTCCTTTTAGATGTCCAGATTGTGGATGACAGGATTGAGACCAGCCAGGAAAATCACGGTAGACGTTTGTGGCAAGTTGTAATCACCAGCAATGAAACGTCAACTAAGGGGACAGCTGACTTAGGAAAAACATTTAATTTGAGCCCAATTCATATTTCAAAACTGATGATAAATGATGGTAACTATTCAGAAATGAAGCCAGAAATGTTGAATATGTGTAAGAACACGTTTCTCCCTAGTGAGCCTGATGAGATGCATGCTGGACAGAGAAACCGGAGGATAGTAATAGAACTGGGAAATCCCTCAGATATGCTGAGTACCCTAGGCATCAGAAGAAGAATCAAACTCTGCAGCAACCTTTTGAATGTAACAGACAAGGGAGAGACTTCATCAAGAAAGCAATATTCTTTATACATAGGATGGTTCGTATGGGTGAGATGGCTTACAAATATAAGAAATATTGGAAGGCCTGTGGTAAGTCAGCTCTCATTGCCCAAGAGAGAACTCACGTAAGGGAGAATCACTATAGGTGTAACAAATGGGGGAATACCTTTTGTAAGAAACCAACACAGAAACCAACACAGAGCTGATCTCCAGGAGCAACAGCATAAATGTAATCAAAGTGGGAATAATTTCTGCCAGAAATTACATCCCACTCAGCTTCAGAGAATTCAGTTAGAGAAAATGTTTGAATGTGATGTATGCGGTAAAACGTTCTATAAAAAGTCTAATCTCACTAAACATCAGAAAGTACACACTGGAGAGAAACCCTATGCACGTGATGAACGTGAGAAATCCTTCTGCCATAAATCAGGCCATACTGTTCATCAGAGAATCCACACTGGGGGAAAGCCCTATGAATGTAATGAATTTGGGAAATCATTCTGCCAGAATTCAGCCCTCACTGTTCATCAAAGGATTCACAATAGGGAGAGACCTCATGAATGCAATGATTGTGGTAAAACCTTCCATAAGAAGTCAGTACTCACTGCACATCAGAGAACTCACACAGGAGAGAGACCTTATGCATGTAAAGAATGTGGGAAATCCTTTGGACACCGGCCAGCCCTCACTGTACATCAGAGAACTCACACAAGAGATAAACCTTATAAATGTAATGAATGTGGGAAATCCTTCTGTGTGAAGCCAAAACTCACTGTACATCTGAGACTTCACACAGGTGAGAAACCCTATGAATGTAAAGAATGTGGTAAAACTTTCTACCAGAAGTCAAAACTCACTGTACACCAGAGAACTCACACAGGTGAGAAACCTTATAAATGTGACGAATGTCAGAAAACCTTTTGTGAAAAGTCAACCCTCAATAGACATCAGAGAACACACACAGGAGAGAAGCCCTATGGATGTAAAGAATGTAGGAAAGCTTTCTTCCAGAAGTCAGCCCTCACTGTACATCAAAGAACTCACACAGGAGAGAAGCCCTATGAATGTAATGAATGTGGAAAAACCTTTTGCCAGAAATCACACCTCAGCAAACATCAGAGGACTCACACAGAGGAGAAATCATGTATGGCAGAGACTGGCTGTCTGTACACCCAAACTCACTTTCTTTTTCTTTGGGGCACACGGTTAGCCTGCATTTCTCAGCCTTCCTTTACTGTGGGTGGGACCATATAACTGAGCTGTGGCCAGGAGAATTTGAACACAAGCAATAAACATTAATTCCAGGCCAGGCCAGAAGAAAAAAAACAAAAACCTTCCATGCATTCCTGCTGACTTTTTATGCCCTGTGATTCTGAAGCGCAAATCTGCTCCCCACACCCCCACCCCAGTTTGCCTTGGGAGCCACTGGGTGGAGATGGCAACCATGACTTAAGACAGAAAAAATTGATTATGATTATGGAGAGCAGAAATTTTCCCAACTCTACCAAAAAAAATGTTCAGTTGTGCTTTACCTGAGTGAGAAATAAATATTCACTGTTGGGCCCTCCCATGTGTAATCTATTTACAACGCTACCAGTCCACTGTGGCCAGTTCATTTTATGAATTTGAGACAGACTTCTGTGAGAAGTTACCAGTCCTTGTGTAGAAAATTCACACAAATTGTGTAGAAAATTCAACACAATTCCTTGTGGTGTCATCTTTCATCCCCAGTCAATTGATGGAAAAATCAAGTCATATGAAGAGATAAAGAATGCAAGAAATGTAGGAATGCCTTTATCAGGCAGAGACAGCTCATTGAACACTGAGAATAAAGTAAAGCCTTATAAATATCTTTAATGTGTCAGAGTTTTCAATAAAACAACTTTATGTACATCAGAGAATTTCTAATGAAAACTATCAGCTTAGGTAACGTGAATGCAATTTTTCAGATAGAAATATTAATGTATTGAAAAATTTAAGACTGTAGACCAGTTGTTCTCTAATGGGAATGATTTTGCCTCCAAAGGAACATTTGGCAGAGCTACTCCTGGTACCAGCGCAGTGCCACTTCTGCCTTTTCATATTCAGAGAAGTTGCAAGGCCCATGAAAGTTCTGAGGAGTGGAGAAATAGACTCTCCGTCTTTGATGGAAATGTTGCAAGAGCACATTGCAGAAGAGTGTGCAGGATGGGACATGTTAATGCGACCATCTTTGGAAAATATAGTATGATACTGTCCACTGTATGGCCACAGAGTTCACATAGCTTCCACATACAAAAAATACTCATACTCTACTAAGTCTCCCCCAAATCTCATTTTATAAAGCTGTTGGCGCAGAAATCTAGGAGCTTGTCATCTGTATCAGGTCTAGGTACACATAGGCTCTTTGGGCACAGTTCCATGTTCGTGGTTGCTCTGAATCTGAAGATGTGTGACCTGAAGTGACCAGTCACCTGCCCTGCAAACGCTCAACAGGCAATGGTAACACAGAGATGGGATACCAAGAGCACGTCCATTCACGGGGCAGTGGGGAGGCACTGAGGCATCACTGGCTGAGTCTAGCAGGACACACCATCAGTTCCTTGATTAGGCTACAGTGTTTCAGGGGATGATTTCCAAGGCTCTGTGCTGAGTGAAGTCGTCTTCCCTTTTCCAAGAGACAAAGCCTGATTTTATAACTAACTGGTTGCTTCAGTCCTACTTCCTGCCCAGAGCGCTCTTTTTCTTCTCTTTATTCTTTTCCTCTTTAAAAAAAATTTTTTTTTTAAATTAAAAAAAATTTTTTTTCCTTCTTTTTTTTTGGCCATGCTACACAGCTTGTGGGATCTTAGTTCCCCAACCAGGGATCGAATCCCGGCCCCTGGCAGTTACAGTGCCAAGTCCTAACCACTGGACCACCAAGGAATTCCCAGAGGGCTCTTTTCATTTGAACTGTTTTTAAACCTTTTATTTCAAATTGATTGAAATCCTTAAAAAAACGTTTTGGGATTCACGATATGTCAAATTGTGATCCATTCCGTTAGATGGAAGCCACACGCACATTTCCTCTGGAACACATTCCCTTCCTCCACCTTGAACTGAAGCAGATGCTCACGTCTTACTGGTAGCATCTCTTCTCCCAGGCCTGATCCCTTGCCTCCACCTCAACCACTTCCCCCCAGCACTCGGCCCTTGGTTTCCCAGGAGCTCTTGTCACGTTGGAAAACTTTGGAGTCTTCTTCCTCTTATTTTCCTTCTTTTATTGCTCTGATACCTTCTCCCCCCACCACCTTCCACCTCCTGTCCCTCAGTTTCAGCCTCCTTCTCAGCTTACCCTGTGTTTGTCCCAAGAGTTGCTAAACTTCTTGTTTCTTCCAAGTCAGGGCTGAACCCCTTCCTGGCTTGCCGTACCTTTCTTTGTCTTCTGGGTCTGTGGGTGAGAGTTTATCAGATGACTAATTTTGCTGTTGGGGGAGTATAGTAGATAATGTATAATGGCTCACTTAACGTGCAACCAGTCCAACACTGTGGCAGCAGGCCTTTGCTCATTAAATAAGCTTGAAAGGTAAAAGCTCTTTCCCAGGTATGGAAGACTGCATAATGGCCCCCAGAGATATCAGATCTCAATCTCTGGTATCTGTGTATGTTACCTTATATGGAAAGAGTTGTACAGATTAAATCAAGGAGTTTTTGATGAGATCATCTTGGGTTGTCCGGGTACACTCTAAATGCAACCACAAGTGTTCTTATAAATGAGAGAAGATTTGACACTTAAGAAATTCCTGAAACCACCAAGGGATAGATGATATAGAGTGATTTGGCCACAAGAATGCCAGCAGCCATCAGAGGCTGGAAGGGATAGATTATCCCCTAGAGTCTCTGGAGATGGGCCCTGCTGACACTTTGGTTTCAGCCCTGTGACGCTGATCTTGAACTTCTGTCTTCCAGATGTGAGGGAGTACATTTCTTTTTATTAAACTATTATGTTGGCAGTAATTTCTTACACAGCAATGGAAACCAGTATCCATTGCAGCTAAAATCCTGTATCTGACTGAGGTTCCACCAAGCAGATGCTCCCAGCATTAAGTGGTAGCTGTCAATGGACAAATCAGATGTTCTGAAAAACACAACGGAAGTACTACTGACTCTCCTGGTGGTGATAATTGATTCTGCTGGGTGATTGTGTTGGGATTGCTAGCTTGGGGACCTGTCCACTCTTTAATTCTTGGTGGGAGTGTTAAGGTGGGTATCAATTTATTTTTGGATGGAGTCCCTATATTTGTCTTTGACTTGATCAGAGTAGGGGCTGGGTTGCCTTGCTTGGTTTTCCTGTTGTCTTCGTTTTGTATTCCAAAACACAGGTGAGACACGAGCTTGTGTAAGCAGTTTATTTGGGAAGTGGTTGCAAAAAGCAGGAATGAGGTAGTGGGGGAAATGACAGCGGAGAGGAGGAAAAGCCAGTAAGGTGTATGCTACTGAGCTGGTGACCACTATGAACAAGCTGACATCCATCGTGTTGGGTACTCCGTAAGGAGCTGGGTCATGTACATCTCAACTGACCCAATAGACATGGGAAGCTGACACGTGTGTGTGTGTGTGTGTGTGTGTGTGTGGCTTAGCAATTGGCCGTTACCACTCTGACCCTGTTTTAATCCTATTGTCTTGCATGAGGTTGCAGAACAAGAGAGAGAATCCAGAAAGTTTCACAGTTTAGTTACAATTTCCTGGGAAGAAACGGCACACCGTGCAGGGCCACTCAGAGGTAGACAGAGGAGAGGGGGAACTGTGGATCCAGTGCCTGTACTGTGGATTCAGCAAGAAGGAAGGGGATAGGCATTGCAAGCAGGCTTAGGATTGGCTAATGTGAATATTTTCAGTGGACTTTGGGTCATTGAGGCTGTCCCTGACTGTTCTGCTACCTGGCCCTAGGGCAATTAGGGCAGGTGTACAGTAGTGCAGAGTGTGAGGGTACAACTCAGCAGGTGCTTGGGAGTGTGGACTTAATTGGCCGTTTAAGAGGGTAAACTCATGTAGCTAGGGCCGCAAAATTGAGTCAATACTGAGCTCAAGTATTTGGGGTATTGGAGTGGCCTGAATAAATGAGTGTAGGACATACATTGCCCTAAACAGCATAGGGTCAATTTCTCGGGTCAGTGTGGCAGGTCTGGCCACTATGTTGTTGGAGAGTATGGATTGTTAGTGAAGTCAGTGTAGAGATTCGTTGTATTTGTGTGTTAACTAGTAGAAAGCGGTGGTCGTGGTGCTCATGGTGGGAGACTCCAGGTGGGAATTCGTGGTGGAAAGCTGGGGCAGGGAGTAGGAGAGGCGCTGGGGAGTGTGTTGTCCTTTCCCAAGCAGGTTGAGGAATTGACTGATAGGTGGCAGTTGTCTCCTGGGAAAGGCAATAGTCTCCATTAATTTGTAGAACGGTACAGACAGTAGTAATCTCTACAGATTTCCCTTTAGGCGTAGACGTGTAGGGATGTATGTTTCTGCAGAGAGCAAGAGTATACTTGGATCATGGGATAAGCAGGCCAGGAGCTCAAGAAACACAACAGAATCCCTAATGTCAAAGGAAGAAAAGCAGTGAATGTCCTGGAGCTAGTTTGCCAGCACCTTGGGTGGGGCAAGTCTTAGGCATCCCTGGAGCAGAGGTTTTAGTGTCCAGGACAGAGTTGTCTCCACCTCAGGGGGCGATGTCATCTCCAACATTGAGCTCCTGGATAGAGCAATATTGTCTAGAATGTGAGACTGGGGTATCCTTTTCAAGTGGACACCCACTTGGAGTGGTATGAGTCTTATTTTTCTGACTCTTTGGCATTATAAAGATGCTGAACAACTTGTCTAATTTGAAGGCAGCGTTGGGCCTGGGAGCTTGACTTGCAAATATCTTTTAAGCTAAGGGGCCGTGGGTGCACAGGTAGCCAAGGTGATGTTGGCACCTGTGATGCTGTCATCATGAACCAAAGTGCCGGCACTCAACTGGCGCAGTTAAAGGCTCCATTAAAGATGGCCAGATCTGAGGTTTTAACTCTCCAAGGTTTTTCCCAGATGGGTGATGAGTTGGATTCTGTTGCAAATAGGTTTAAGTCATATGGCCTGATTTGGGTGTATGTTGTTAGCAGGGTGTCCGGTTGACAATTAAAATATCTGTGGCTGTGGAGCTTTGGCATTACCCTCTAGACAGGCCCTCTAATTTGGCCAATTTCTAGGTCCCTTTGCCTCAGCTGTTGGTTTGGATGGTGACAGGCTAGCCTGCAGTCTTTGGGTTGTAAAACTTGTATTAGTCAAAAGTGATGGCATGTCGGCCTGCATTCACCATGTTGGTTTAAACCATGGCTTCCTTGGAAGGTTTGGGACTCTGGTTTGCAAACCAATGAAAACACCCAGACTGACAGTAAGGAGACATCCAGCAGAGTGGTTACAGCTCACTTGGCTGGCTTTTGTCATTTGATGTTGATTTTCCTCCAGCACGTATCAGTAACAGGTAGAGGTGTTCTGGTTTTATCCTTATGGAATATGGTTTTGATTTTATTATCTCCAAATGTGAATTTCATTTACTAAGTGGAGTTTTCTATTTATCTTTTCCGTAGTCCACACTGCCTGTGAGAACAGTCCTGGAGTACATGGAGATGTCAGCAAATTTGTAACCAAGCGTGTGGGCTCGTTTCCTGCTACACAATAGAAAAGACCAAATATTGAGACAAGTCTTTTGCAGAAAAAAAAAAGGCTTTATTGCAGGGTGGCCAAGCAAGGAGACAGGAGGCAAAGTGGTGTATTTATCTTGGAAAGAGGGAGAAAGAGGGGCAGGGAGCTCAGAAATGATTGGTGAAAAGTATGTGTAAGTTTCAATGGAAGTATTGAGTTCTCTGCCCAGGCAGTACTGCTCTGCTCTTCATGTGTCATATGTGCAAATTCAGGGTGTTTGGTGTGTAGCAGGGGTTGAATTTTTGGCTCGTGACATCTAACGTTCACTATCAGTCACCCTAGTCCCTCAATGTGCCTGTGCATCAGCAAGTTGTTTCCCTATCTGTGGTTTCCCTGGTGTTCTTGGTGTATCATTTTGTTTCTACTACATGGACCTTGTAAATTACAGGGTATGGTTTCACAAGGGGCTTTGAATTAAGCGATTAAGGCCTGGGACAAGACAGAGACCCATATAAGGTGTCCATTTGCTGGAGTGGAATTTGAAAAACTGTCTGAGGAGACCATCATGTCTCTCAGTTGAATCGGCTATCAAGAACCTATCAGGAAGATAAAAGTGCTATTGAAGGCCTTTTTAAAGAGTCTAACATGGTGTATTCTGAGAAGTGAACTATGTGCCTTGCTTAATATCAGTAATGCCTGCTACCCCAGAAGGAATGAGGGTAGGGTTAAATGTGGATGTGGATTTGCCTTCCCTGTACACAATGCTTCGGCCCAAACTGCCATCTGCAGAGTTAAGAATTCCTATTCACTATCATGGTCTCATACACAGCATTACTTCTGATTGAAGAGTTCCCTTAACAACAAAAAAAAGTTATGCAGTGGGCCCAAGTTGTGATGGAATTCACTGGTCTTACCATGCTCCTGCCATCCTGAAGCAGCTGGCTTGATAGAATGGTGGAATGGTCTTTTGAAGACTCAGTTACAATACCAGCTAGGTGGCAATACCTTGCAGGGCTGGGACAGGGTTCTCCAGAAGGTTGCATATGTTCTGAATCAGTGTCTTAATATATGGTGCTGTCTCCCATGGCCAGCACTCTAAGGTCCAAAAATCATGGGGTGGAAATGGGAGTGGTAACATTCACTGTTGTCCCTAGCGATCAGCTGGAAAAGTTTTGCTTCCTGTTCCCCCAACTGTATATTCCACTGGCCTAGAGGCCTTAGTCCCAGAGGGAGGAATGCCTCCACTAGGAGATACAATAATGATTCCACTGAACGGGAAGTTAAGACCGCTGCTCAGCCCCCTTGGGCTTCTCATGCCTGTGAATCAACAGGCAAAGGAGTCCCTGTGCTGGCTGGTGTGACTGATCACTGAGCCTGACTACCACAGGGAAACTGGACTTCTCGTCAGTGCAGGTAGGGAAACCATGTCTGTGATACAGGAGATACCTTAGGGTTTCTTTGAGTATGACCACGCCCTGTGATTAATGCCAATGAAAAACGATAACAATCCAATCCAGCAAGAGTACTGATGGCCCAGATCCTTCAGGAATAAAGGTTTTGGTCACTCCACCGGGTAAAAAGGCACAGACGGCTGAGTTGCTTGATGAAGGCAAAGGGGAAGCAGAATGGGTGGTGGAAGAAGGTGAAGATGGATATAAATACCGGCTGTGATTCCACGACCAGTTACAGAAATGGATATATATATATATATATGTATATATTCAGAAATGAGAGTTGTTGAGGTTTGTCTGCCCGACTGTGTCACTGTCCTACCTGGATGGGGGAGCCGTTCAAGAGAAGGAATCTCTTTGTACGTACTGAATTCACTGTCTTTTGACCCAAGAACACAGACTTTGACTCCCATCATTGCCCTGGCTTGGGTGATGCACTCCAGTGGATTTGAAACATGCCCTAAGCACCAACTGTCCTAGGTGACTGACTTCCACGACACTGAGGATTTCTAACATATTATGTTCTTGTGACAAGTGTCTCAGGTACAGGTTTTGTGCCTATGCAGGCACAAATTACATTTAGGCTCCAATTACATTTCTTTTTCTCAGCGAATCAGTGGGGGCTGTGGGCATGGAACTGACTGGCTGAGGACCCTTGGTCCTTGTTGGGATTTCTGAGACTCTGTGGTCTAGGCCTGAATAAGGAATGGAAGAAACTATCACAGGCTGGGTTTTCAGAACCCCTGGGCCTATTGTGAGAGGGTCTCAGTCTTGCATCCCTCTGCCTGGGGACCCAGAACATGTCAAGTCCTAGAGATGAGCAGACCAGAGACTGTGAGGTGAGGGAAGCACTTATTGAGTGCCTGCTGTGGGACTCTGGCTGAAGCCAAGAGGCAGAGTGTGGCCAAGGCTTCACTCAGTCTCAGGTGCCAGGGGTCTTGGGATGGACAACCCCCCACCTAACACAGACTCAGCTGAGGCAGTTGTGTTAATATGGTGCCTTTATTTCCTGAAGCCCATAAGCTCCAGTGCAGGGCATAAGCTCTAGTGCAGGGTGGCTCCTCCTTGCCTAGGAGGGCATCAGGCTCTGCTTAGTGGGCGGCTCTGGGTCTTTCTCCTCACTGACTCCAAGGGGCTTGGGATTGGCCTGCGGGAGGTCAGAGTGTGACATGGGAGTCTCCTCACATCCCCATGCCCACACCCTCCCTGGGTCCTGCCCTTCCTCACCCCACTGCTGCCAGCTTCTGCACCTTTGCCTTGGCTGTGTCCCTTTGGGAATGCCCTTCCCTGAAGACCATCTTCTGAGCTCTCTGCAGAACCCCTCCTTGCCTCCCCACCCAGAGCTCCTTTCATAAGCTGTCTCTGCTCCCTGACCCAGATGCCAGGACTCACAGCTTCTCCTGGGCCAGCCCCTTCCTCTTGATTGCTCTGGCCTTGAGCAGGGACCTGCACTCCAAGCTTTTCCAGCTCCTCCTTCAGCCTGGACAAAAAGGGGTAGGGGGGTAGGGTAGGAGGGTAGGGGGAGAAGGGAAGGATTGTAAAGAGACCAAGTGACAGAGTCTAGGAGGGAGCAGAGACTCCCTTAGCCACCTTCCCCTTGGGGACCACGCCTACCTCTGCCTCTGCTGCTGCAGCTGCCGGCACTTCTGCTGCAGCTGCTCCTGGCGCTGGGCGGCAGCCTCCAGGAGCTCCCCGGCCTTCTTGTTCTCCTCCTCAAACAGATGCCTGAGGGTGGGCGTCAGTGATGGCAGCACCTCTCCCTCCCCGCCGCCCCCCGCACCGTCCCTCTCTTACACCACAGCTGCTGCTTCCTGGCTGCGCAGGAAGAGCCCCTCAGTGATTGCCGAGCAGCCCTTGGCTCCGAACTGGGAGCACAGACGATGCTTCACATCCTCCAGCTTTGCCTCCACCAGCTTTTCTGCAGCAGGAAGGGACAGTGGCAGGGCAGGGCAGGGCAGGGCAGGGCATCCCCATTCTCCAGGCCTCACCTTCCTTGAGCAGCTTCTCCTTGCTGCTGTCCAGGGCGGCGATCTCCAGGGCCAGCTGCTCTGGCTTCTGAGGGGTAGAAAGGCAGCCTGTCCACATCTCCTGGCTTCCTCCCATGTGCCTCAGAGAAGCCGATCTGGATCTGGTCTTTACTCTGCATGCCTTACTTCCTGCTGCTCTGGCCCTCCATGCATGCCAGGCATGGCCCAGCCTCAGGGCCTTTCCATTGGCCATTCTGTCCACCTGGAGCTGTTTCACCCCAGATACCTGTGGTGCTATGCTGGGGAGGCTCGTGAGGGTTAGTGTTCAGGAATTCTGCAAGGTTTGAAATCAGCCCTGGGGTATTCGCTACAGGGCATCCTGCAAACACCACAAATCGAGGCTGTTCTCTGGAGAGTCAGTTACCAGCCCAGCCCTGCAGCTCCTTCTCTTCCCGCTCTGTGACCGCACTGAGCCCTTCCGTCCTGACATTCATTCTGTTTTCTTGTTTGGGATCCCCAGGTGGCAAACACCGGCCTGCCTGGTTCCCCACTATCTGCCCTGTGTGTGTGATGGCCCCAGACACACCCAGGAGTCTCCTTGATGGATAACCCCTCCTTGGTTCATCAGGGCTCCTCCTGACCACTTAAGGCCCCTGGGAGGGCATCAGGGATGGGTGGGCAGGGCCAGTGAAGAGGACAATACCGGGTGGCAGTGAGGGTGACGAGGAACTGGACTGAGCATGATTCTAACACACGGCTGCCAGGGCTGCTCAGGAACTGGGTGCGGCAACTGAGAGGAAGGAGGCCTGGAGGATGACCCCGAGGTTTGGGCTGGTGCTGCCAGAGAAGATGTGGAAGGTGGAAGGAGTGGCCCCGAGTGACTCACGTGGAATTCCCAGAGGCCCTTATGCTGGCCCATCAGATCCTCCAGTTGCTCCTCAAAATCCAACCTGGGGACCAACCACACAGGATGAGGGGCCGTGGGCTGAGAGACACCCCTCCTCAACCTGGCTCAGGCCGGGGTCTTCATGCAGAGACATGGGAGAGTTCGCCCATGCTCCTCACTCTGCTGGGAGCACCTTTGCCTCCTTGACCCTCCAAGCTTCAGCTCAGCCAGCTCGTCTTCTAACCCCCATTCTTAGCATTCCCCCCACTTACAATGCATCCAGCCCCCAGGCCTTGGGCAATGCGCTTTACCTCAACTGCCTCTGCTTGTTCTTCTCCTGCCCCATCTGGGAGTTCAGGGCAGAAATTCGCTCCTTGCACTCCTGCAGCATGGTATGCTTCCTGGCAAGAGGCAAGGCAGCCGTCATGTTTTCTGAATGTCTCCCTAGGAGAGGCCTGGGGTGGGGCTTCCGCGTCCTTCTCTTGAGGTCTGTTCTAACCTTCTAGATTGAGGTCCTTCTCTGTAACTTTGTGGGAGGGGGGCATGAGCTCATGCCCTCTGGAAATGTCATTGTGAAGACTGGGGAGATCAATGTGGGCATGGTCACAAGTACAGGCACACACACATATTAATCTCATGTGAATTTCTCAAACAGTTTCAAAGTTGGTATGCTAGGGGCTTGGGGCCTCTGGTCACAAAATGAGCAAAATAAAGATTCAGGAGGTAGAGACATGGATGTACAAGTAGTTGGGTGGATGGAGGGATAATGGATGAATGGAGAGAGACTGGTGCACAGATGGTTGGCTTGACGCCTAAATGAAGGGACAGGTGAGTAGACAGCCAAGACAGCCTGCAGAAAGTATGAAGGTATAGAATAAAAACCAGCCGAGGGAATTTAATTGACATTCTAGCAAATGAATGCCCGTCCCCGTGAATGAGTACTCCTAACACTACTGCCTACTGTTGGAGTCAAGGTGGGAAGACAGGCATTTGGCCTCCCCGTTTTAGGGAGAAGATGAGAGCTGTGGGTCTAAGACCGATTTCCTCTGCTTTCTCTCTCTACCAGAATGGACAGCGCTGAGCAGGGGCCAGGGGGAAGCTCTTACCTCTGTGCCTCACTTTCCTTCTCCTGGCAGTGGAGCCGGAGGATCCTCAGGGTCTCTGCAGGGAGAGGAAGTGAGGGCCCCGTGAGAGCCCATCAGGGCATGAGGTTTGGGCAGAGGTAAAAGTGCTAGATCATGTGGGATCTCTGGAGTTGATGGGACTCTGTCGTTTACTGCATGTTTGGTGGAAGCCACAGGAGGGATGCATGGTGATTCAGGTTTCAAAAGGCTCCTACTTCTATAGAGAGAGTGGGCTTCTGCAGGGTGGCAGAGGCAAAAACCTGGAGACAGAGTAGCTGCAATTACCTTGCTTTTTGCTCAAGATCTCTTTCAGGCGTACTTTCTCTCCACTCACTGGAAAAAGCAGTAACATGTTCAGGCATCAGAGTCCACACACTGAACCTTCAGGGACTGGGCTTGCCCATGGTCACATGTGTGGTCTGGTACAGCCCTACCCCCAACCCCAGATGTAGACCCCTCAAGGTGAGCCCTAACCCCAGATGTAGACCCCTTGACGTGAGCCCCTTCCCTCTTGGGCCCACACTCCCTGTAAGCATCAAAGGGCCCTCAAGTTGATAAAGGGTGGCTGTGAGGACCCTGTGGAATGGCAGTGCGTTTACATGGAGGGAAGAGGAAAAATAAACACATTGCATGAAGTTGGATAAGGGCTGCGAAGAAACACATCAAGCAGTAAGAGCCATGTGACTAGGTGTGGGCAGAGTGCGGTCTTTGGGTGGGGTAACTGGGGAAGGCCTCTCTGAGACGGGGACATTTGAGCTGAGAACTGAATGATGATGTGAGGCAATAGGAACCTGTATTATCTGGGGGAACCTCTCCTAGCAAAGCCCCTAAGGTAAGAGTATGCTTGGAGGGTGTTTCCGGAACACTCCCACCCACAGAGTTGGAGCGGGGAGATTGGTAGGACCTGAGGTTGGAGAGGGGGCAGGAGCCCTTGGCCACGGCAAGGATGCTGATTGGAATACTGGGTTCAAGGATGCATGACATTGTGGGGACCTCTGGGTCATCCCCCACAAGCTTACATGAGTCCAGTTCCTTCTGCAGGGTCTCCCAGACAGTCCGGGCCTCTCCTAGCTCCTCACTGGCTTTCTTTTTTGCTGTGCCAAACCGCAGAACATTGTGTAAGTGTCTGTCCTTGCAAACATTTCACATTTGTCTTTAAGCAAACCTAGAGGGGCCCAGATTCTTGTTTCCGGAAGCAGGAAACAAGGCTTCCAGAGCCCAAGCCTTTCTTGTTGGGCTCAGTTGACAGCAGGACAGGTTAATAAACGTGTGAGTACAGCACCTGAATTTAGATGGGCCCGACCAACCCATGCTAAGTTTAATGCTCTGCTCTTTCAAAACACAGTAATTTGGAACAAGGGGCCCTACATTTTCATTTTGCACTGGGCCCTGCCAATCACGCAACCGCACCTGGCAGACAAGCCAAGGTCCTGAGCTCACCTTGCTGGACCTCATTAATCCGGTTAATCAGGACCTCAATCCTGGGCTCTAGGTTTCCGGCTGCAGGGAAACAAGGAGGTTGAGTGAAGATGACAGGGCAGGTGAAGGGAGGTGGATGCCCTCCAAGGGCTCACATTCTGGGGAGGGGAGACAGGAACAGATAAAGAACCTGAGTCAGGCTGCGGTTAAGTGCAGTCAAGAGAAACAGAGGAGGGGCAACAGATTACAAAGTGGAGTGGGACGTGCTTCTTCAGATATGGCAAGACCCCTTGAGGGCCCCAAATGAAGTGAGGGGGGCAGACCTTGCTGTTCCCTGGGTGGGGGTGGGAGACAGTCAGTACAAAGGCCTGCCCTAAGGTGGGAACACGGGTGGAAGGTGCCTGGTGAGCAAGCCAGAGGAGCGGAGGTGAGGTGGAGGGAAGGTGAAACCCTGGATCCAGCAGAGTGCGTGGGAACCAAATGGACGGCCAGCAAGGGGACTGCAGCTGAGTTTTGGGAAAACGTTTGTACTTTATCCCCTTATACTTGAATTTTGAATCATGGGTTCATATTTTTACTTCAAAAAATTGTTTTAAAAGTAAGAGAGAACAAATGAGTTAATTTCCCAAGGTGGTGAATTTTGGGCCTTGGAATTGATTCCACTTCTGCCTGACCCCAAATCTCAGGCTGAGCCCCAGTTACAGAGGAGACGTGACCTTTCTGTAACTGCTTCACCATTTCCATCAAGTCTTCAATTTTCTGTGAGGACTTGGCCTGCCCTGTGGAGAGAAAACCAAACATTTAAGAATTATGTAGGCTCCAATAAAGATTTAAAAAAAAAGAATTATGTAGGAGGGAGAGGCCTGAGGAAGGATCTGATAACACTGGGCCGGGACTGAGGTGGCCTGAGGGCAGGTCTCCAGCCAGAGTGGGGCGTCTGCTCCTTGTCCTGAGGGAGACACTGCACAAGGGATGAACCGGCCCTTCCTGGGCAGACTTTCCTAAAGGGTGAAATGACACCACAGATTTCCCCTTAATAAAACTCAGGGCAAGGAAAGGGGTACACTCTTACTGCTGATACTGTTCAAGGCTTGGCCAAAGCTCAGGATGTAATAATGAAAGAAAAAAAAAGAAGTGGTATTAAAAACTGGAAACAAGGATTCAGAAATCACTGTTAACTAGTAGGTGGCATAATGAACTAGAAATTTCTAGAGAATATTACCCAAAGAAACCTTACAAGGAATACTGAGAAAATCTAATAAGATGTCTCATTTAAATAAATATAAATAGCCTTCCTATACACAATTGTTATTCTGTAGCCTCCAAGTAAAATATTTCATATTAACTTGCTTATAATCAATATAGGCACTTATTTTTAACTCCTTGATGAATTAGTAGATCTAGGCAATTATTATTAATGGATTAACATCACAATAAAAATAACTGGATATTATGAGCTATGTAATGTAAAAATTCAATGTAGGATTCTTGTAAAAAAATGACACTAATACTTGTTAAGCCTCTCAATCTAAATAACCAATTCAGAGGAAATACAGGGAGAGCGGAACATTTTAAGTGGCACATGGGCATGCAATTAGTAACATCCACACTGGGAAACGTCACAGGAAAAACAACCCAGTTTCTTTAATTTAAATACATTTTGGGGGAAAAGGGAGAAAGGAAGACCCTTACAGACAAAAAGAGATTAAAGAAACGTATCAACCAATTTCAATAAATGGACCATACTTGGATTTCGATTCAATCGAAAGCACTTTTTAAAATGGTGATGACACAACCAAGGAAATTTGAAAACTGACTAGATAGTTGATGAAACAAAGGAATTATTGTAGCCATTATTCACATGGGACAATGCTATTGTGGTTACTTTTCTGCAGAGTGCTTATGTTTTAGAGAGATATATGCAAATATCGGGTCGGCCAAAAAGTTCGTCTGGGTTTTTCCATACCATCTTAATGGAAAAACCCGGACGAACTTTTTGGCCAACCCAATATCTATGGATGATATGTTATGTTGCCTGGGATACTTCGAAATGAAACAGTGGAGTCGGTGGTAGGGAGTGGGTGAGGATAACGAGGAAACAAGATTGGCCAAGAGCTGATAATTGTTAAAACTGAAAGATGAGTTCATGGGGTAATTATACTTTGTTCTTGACTTAAGAAAATGTTTTTAGGACTTCCTTGGTAGTCCAGTGGTTAAGACTCTGCACTCCCAATGCAGGGAACCCGGGTCTGATCCCTGGTCAGGGAACGTGATCCCATATGCCACAGCTAAAGATCCCACATGCTGCAATGAAGATCCCGTGTGCTGCAACTAAGACCCAGCACAGCCAAATAAATAAATAAGTAAATATTAAAAAAAAAAGTTTTTAAATTGAAGTATAGTTGATTTACAATAGTGTTTTAGTTTCAGGTGTACAGCAAAGTGATTTGGTTATATTATATATATACTTTTCAGATTCTTTTCCATTATAGATTACAAGATATTGAATATAGTTCCCTGTGCTATAGAGTAGGTCCTTGTTTCTATTTAGTAGTGTGTATCTGTTAATCCCAATCCTAACTTAACTCTCCCACACCCCTTTCCCCTTTGGCAACCATAAATTTCTTTTCTGTGTCTGTGAGCCTATTTCTGTTTTGTGAGTAAGTTAATTTGTACCAGTTTTAGATTCCACATATAAGTGATATCATATATTTCTCTGACTTACTTCACTTAGTATGATAATCTCTAGGTCCATCCAGGTTGCTACAAATGGCATTATTTCCTTACTTTTTATGTCTTAGTAATAATCCATTGTATATATGTACCACATCTTCTTTATCCATTCATCTGTCAATAGACATTTAAGTTGCTTCCACATCTTGGCTACTGTAAACAGTGCTGCTATGACACTGGGGTGCACGTATCTTTTTGAATTAGAGCTTTCGTCTTGGCCGGATATATGCCCAGGAATGGGATTGCTGGATAATACAGTAACTCTATTTTTAGTTTTTTTTTTTTTTGAGGAACCTCCATACTGTTCTCCATAGTGGCTGCACCAGTTTATATTCCCACCAACCGTGTAGGAGGGTCCCCTTTTCTCCACACCCTCTCCAGCATTTATTATTTGTAGACATTTTGATGGTGGCCATTTTGACCAGTGTGAGGTGATGCCTCATTGTAGTTTTGATTTGCATTTCTCTAATAATTAGCAATGTTGAGTATCTTTTCATGTGCCTGTATATTTTTTTGTATGTGCTTAAATTTATCCATAATAAAAAGTTAAAAAAAAATAAAGCAACCAACCAATCAAACAATATAGAGAAGGTGAATAATCATTTCTACGTAAGAATGGAGAAATGGAGAGGAACAATTAACCAAAAACTACACAGATGGCTAATAATATTTGAAAAGACGTACTACTTCAGTCATAATTAAAGAGATGAAAATAACATGTTGCATCTAGCAGGTTGGTAAAGATTAGTAAGTCTGATAAGGCCCAGTGTTTGTGATGATGTAGGGAAACTGGCAGGCTGTGGAAACTGATGCAACCTTTTGGAGGCCAGTCTGGCTACATCAACATTTTGAAGACAAATTCCACTTCTAGGAATGTATCCATCAGATATGCTTGGTTAAATATGCAAAAGGTATGTTAAATGACACTGAAGCAACATTTATGTCAAAAGTGGGAAAAAAACGTGAACGCCCATCAGTAGAGAACTGCGTGGGATTCAGCTGTTCCCTCCCCGTTTTCGTACCACCACCCAGGCTACAGGGACCATCCAGTCCATGCATCTATATGTTTTGTGTGATCCTCTAGGAAGGTGACCAAAAAGGGGGAAAAATAATTTAAATGTTAAAATTGGTGCCAGATGGGCTACTGCAAAGCCTTTACCCGCTAGTCTTCCTATCATCTGAGTGTGATATCAAGTCGAAAGGATGTCCTCTGCCTACTTTTAGCTACTTAAACGGAGCAGATGGGGCAAACGAGGCCAGCGAGAGGTGTGTGAATGTAGGACGCGGGCCTGTGGGTGAGTCCTCGCGGCTGCCGGCAGAGCCGCCGAGACCCTTCCGGAGGGGACGAAAGTCGTTTTTCCCCACGTCCGCCCTGACTCGAAGCGGCGCCCGCGTGCGCTCCCTGCCCGCCCAGCCCTCTATCGCCCGGCTCTACCTCCGGCCTCGTCAGCCCGACCCACCGCTCCCGCCTGCTTCGCGCTCGAAAGCTCCGAGCGCCCCGCCATTTCCTCTCAGTCTGGCGCCTCCGCTTGGATTGGACGGAACGCAGCCGGGGGCGGGGCTCCCTCAGCACGCCTGCGCAGTGCGCCCCGCGCCGATCCCTTCGAGAGCGGACCGCGGAATAGACAGTTGGGCAAGCGCCAGTGCGTATGCTTGAGGTCTCCCGGTGCCGATTCAGGGCAGAGCAGGCGAGGGCGGCGCCTGGTCTTCCAGGCTTGCGATTGGCCGGTTGAAGAGCCGTGGCCTGCGAGAGTGTAGAGGCCTCCCTAGAGCCCGCCCCACGTGACGTCACCTGCGTTGCGGCGAGTGGGCCGGAGCCTGGCGGTGGGGAGCCGAGTTTGATTTCCGTCTCTGCAGGCTTAGGCGAGGTTTCCGGTTTACCGCAAACCTCCGCGTGGGCGTTCTGCACCGAGGCCGTGAGTTGGCCCCACCAGACTCATCTTGGCCGCTCTTCGTGGCTGGACGCGGAGGAGAGGGCAAGGGTGCAGCGAGACCCTGATTCTTCCCAGCGTGATCCCGAGGCTGGCCCTGCCTAGCGTGACACATTCTCAAGGGAGGCGGGGCGAAGGGTGGACGATGTCGGGTCTGTAGGGCGGGCTGGGGGTGCAGAACTGCCGCGTTCCCCTGTGGGTCTGGAAGGACCGTGGTGGACCTCAGGGCTGCATGTGGAGGGGAGGTTCAGCCAGGCTCCCTGCCGCGCGCTGGATGGGGCAGAATTCACGTTTTGGGGGAGGCCGGTGGACCTGGTTGCAGGCGGTGCAGGTGACAGTTACCAGCCTGAATCTGGACATCTGAGTGTTCACTGTGCACAAATCCTGTTCCAAGACATCCCACCCCTCGTCTTCCTCACTTGTTGACCGGGATCCAATCACGACAGTAACAACGAAGTGTGAGGAGCAGTTTTGAGAACTACCTGTGAAAAGCTTTGCTCTAAGAGCTGCCGTCAGTTTTCCTCATCTGTAGTCTGGAAATAGTAATAGCAAACAAGAACTAACATGTAAGGAGGGCTTCCTGTGCCAGAACAGTTCCTATTCTCGTCACGGTAGGAGATTATTTCATGTAATCCTGTCAAAGGACAACCTGGCTGGACTCCCCCTCACCCACTCTGCTCAAGCCACCAGCCTCCTTCCTCAAGATAAATAGGCTCAAACCCACCTTAAGCCCTTACAAAGGCTGTCACCGCTACCACATGCACCCTTCTGAAGTTTTCAAAGCTTGAACTGTCACATCAATGTGAATATGCTGTCTAAAAATCCATAGCTCTCATGACATGGATAAGGTTATGAAAAGTCACAGAGTAAGAATTAGGATTCAGGGTCCAAGCAAAAGTCTGATTGGGGACCAGGGTCAGGGAAAGGGTCAAGAGTCAATGTCAGAGGCCATATTCAGAGTCACTGTTCATTGTTAGGATCAGCATCGAGGTCGGGGACAGGGATAGGAATTAGAGACTCGAGACCATGGCCATTCCCGCCCAAGATCATGGTTCAAGTCAGGGACTACTGACCCAAACTATGGCAGAATGGACCGTGATCTCCTTGCTACTGGGGCTACTTCTTTGGGAATGAACTGATATATGCAAGATATGGACAGACCAAAGTTCAAATGACCCTTGAAGCTAGAATCCGTCTTGTACAGACTTCCTGGGGTTAGGGGCTAGGATCAGGATTAAGGACCCTAACCCCTAGGGTTAGGGTTGGGCTCTGGCTCAAAATCCAGGGTCAGTGTCAGTGTTGGGGATCAGGGTCAGTGCTAGGCTAGAGTTTAGGGCTGGGGTCGGGGTCAGAGTTTAGGGTTATGGGTCAGGATTAGAGAGGTTTGGAGGGTTAAGATTTAGAGCTTAGGGGGTCAGGGTCCACAGTCTAGGGGTCTGGGGCTAGGGTTGTTACAGTTTAGGATTATATATAGGGGGATTAGGGTTATAGGTTAGGGTGTTAGAATCAGAGGATTAGGGTTAGAGTTAGGTTTAAGCATAACTGGTCCTCTTCCGCCTCCTCACTCTCCATCTTTGTGAGGCGTCCAGGAAGGGTAGGAGTGGCCCAGGGTCACACATGAGTCAGGAAGGTAAGCTGAACCGTTGATTTTCTGTACCCCAGTACTGGGCTCTGTTAGAAGAATGAAATGTCTACTCTGGTCACTGATTGTTTCAAATCTAACTCTACTCAGTCAAGTGTTATGGAGGGCCCCAGAAGTCCCACAGGGTGTCCCTCTGTCCTCCCACCCTCTGTCTGCCCACTCTGTCTGGGCAGCCCCAGATTCCAGCACAGCCCTGACCCACAGAGCACTCAGAAGACATGTGTGGGTTTATATAGGACTGGGGGTAGTGACCTGCCAGCCCCCACGTGCTGCATACTTGAAGGCTGGTTGGGCCCTCCTGGGACTGAATGGATCCTTTGTCCTATTCAAGTGGCCAGCAGTAGACAGTCAGGTCTTAGCCAGGACAGCCCTTGACCTTCAACCATCCAGGCAGGCATTTGCAGTCCTCTAGCTCAGGCCAGCCTGGGCCCTGTCAAGCCCTTGTTGCCAGTCACTGAGCTGACCATGTTACTGTGCAATAGAATAGCTACCTGGGCAGCATAGACAGACCCCTGGGTGGTTCAATTCCCTACATCCATGTGATTGAGAGAAGTGTCTCTTCCCTCACAGCCTCATAGCCTGCCAAGAGAAGTAATAACCCTCCAACACTGAGTGTGGCCCTGGCCACAACATCCAAACAGCAGACTGTTACCCCATAATTCTTTGGCCTTCCAGCTGTAATAAACTTTTGACACTCATACTCCTTAAGACTCAAGGATATGGGGGCCGCTGGGCCTCGCAATGGGCAGTTTCTCACTGGGGCCGCATGGTTTCAGCGCGCCATGTGAGCTTAGGGCTCGGCCCTGCGTCCCGCAGAAAGCTTGCCAACTGTGGACTGCGTGGCATGGAATAACCCTTGAAACTCCTACTGCTTCACTAAGCTAGAGTTTCCTTACCACCCAGCGTTCGGTCTCTGCTCTTTGTAAAGGAGAGAGAAAAGACTGGAAAGTGAGCAATTTTATTCTTCAAGGATGGGTGATTAATATGGCCAGGGGCCAGGTGTGACTACTGGGCTCCCACCTCCCAGAGTCACAAATGAAGTCTGTGTGCTTTTTGAGGCACATGGGCAATCAGGGCCAGTCTCTGATGTGAGGACCTGATGCCCAAAGCCAGAGCCTTGAGTTTACCACCAACAGCACAGTTGCTATTTTAGCAAGTGGAAGAACTTCTTGCTATCAAGGGAGGACAGTATGAGTTGCCCATATGCTAGTGCACAGTCTCTGGTCCTGTAAAACGTGATTACACGTGAGCATGAGCTCTTCGATGCTTTCTGGTTCTGGAAATCGTATAGGAGGTGGTTCACAGCAGGTGAAGCTAACGCTGTCAGTGGAGGTGGTGAAGCCAAAGGTCTGCAGTTCAGACTGAAGGTGCCTATGTCAGTGTGCATACAAGAGAAAACCATCTCGTGTGAGTGTAGGTCAGGCTCGTTTAAGAAGAATGCAGTCGGGCTTCCCTGGTGGCGCAGTGGTTAAGAATCCGCCTGCCAATGCAGGGGACCCGGGTTGGATCCCTGGTCCAGAAAGATCCCACATGCTGCGAAACAACTAAGCCCGAGCGCCACAACTACTGAGCCTGCGCCCTAGAGCCCACAAGCCACAACTACTGAAGCCTGCGCGCCTAGAACCCGTGCTCTGCAACAAGAGAAGCCACTGCAGTGAGAAGCCCGCGCACCGCAACGAAGAGTAGCTCCCACTCGCCGCAACTAGAGAAAGCCTGCACACAGCAACGAAGACCCAATGCAGCCAAAATATAAATAAATAAAATAAAATACAAAAAGAAGAATGCAGTCATGTTATGCCTATAATCTTTTTTTTTTTTTTTTTTTTTTTCGGTACTCGGGCCTCTCCCGTTGCGGAGCACAGGCTCCGGACGCGCAGGCTCAGCGGCCATGGCTCACGGGCCTAGCTGCTCCGGGGCATGTGGGATCTTCCCAGACTGGGGCACGAACCCATGTCCCCTACCTGTTGGCAGGCAGACTCTCAACCACTGCGCCACCAGGGAAGCCCCAATGCCTATAATCTTGTATCTTGTGCCTATCCTCAGGGACCCCATCCTCAGTTCCTGAGGCTCCTACAACTCACAAACAGGGATTCAGATTCCTTTTTTTTTTTTTTAAGCAGACTGAAATAATCCTTATGTCAGAGAGACATATTTTGGGGTGGCATATTCTAGTCACCTTGACATAGATGTACCCCAATTTGCTTATGCATTCATCTATTGAAGGATATCCTGATTTCTTCACGTTTTTAGCCATTATGAATAGTGCTGCTGTGCATAATTGCATCCTTGTTTGCATTTGGACATAGATTTTCAAAGCATGATTGTTGGATCCCAAGGTGAGACTTGTTTAGCTTTGGAAAGGAAAACTGCTAAACTGTCTTACAAAGTGACTGTACAGGCATCCCAAAAGCAAGGAGGGAGAGTTCCTGTTGTTCCTCATGCTCTAGCAATTGGTATTGTCACATTTTTGGAGTTAAGCATTCCTAATAGGTGTGGTGTGATATCTCATGATTTTAATTCCCTAATGGTATATAATGTTGAGTATATTTTTGTTTGATTTTTACTATCTGTATATCTTTTTTGGCTGTGTGTGTGTGTTCAGATCCTTACCCACGTTTTTATAGGGCTGTTTCAGAGGTCTTTGTCTATTTTGAGTCCAAATCCTTTATTGGATATGAGGTTTGCAAATATTTTTCTCCCAGTTTGTGGCTTGTCTTTTGACTTTCTGAATAAGGGCTTTCAGAGTAGAAATCTTTAATTTTATAAAGTCCACAATATTATTTATTTTGTGCTGTGGATTGGTTTTTTTTTTTTTTTTTGCTGTACGCGGGCCTCTCACTGTTGTGGCCTCTCCCGTTGCGGAGCACAGGCTCCGGACGCGCAGGCTCAGCGACAATGGCTCACGGGCCCAGCCGCTCCACAGCATGTGGGATCCTTCTGGACCAGGGCTTGAACCCGTGTCCCCTGCATCGGCAGGCGGACTCTCAACCACTGTGCCACCAGGGAAGC